AACTCTATTCCAAGTAAAATTTTGTTTAGAAAACTACACAAAATGCCAACTTCCTAATCAACCAAACAAACCAAAACTACCAATTATAGAAAAATAGACGGGACAGATCCTATTAGATTGAAATTTGCTTCTCACTTAGGATCAAAGCAAAAGGATAATTTCATCATTGCCCAAACTCAAGAGTCATTAGGAGCACAGTACTTGAAGCAATATGGTCGAAAACATTCTGGAACAGCATGTCCTGTTTGTGCATCATAAGCAAACTTTCATATATCAGAAAAACAAATCATGTTATCTTGAATATCTAACATAGATAACAAAACCATGGTTCCCTTGAACATTTTAGGTGAAAGTACAAGAAGATCATTTATTCTCAGGGCTTTTTTTTTTGTCATAGAATGCACCAGAATAGAGTTCCGGCATCTTTTTTTTGACAGATTTTCCAGAGTTGCGTTCTTTTCCTATTGTTTCCCTTCCTATCCTCGTTTGTTTTTGAAAATGCCCCACTGGCGGTACTGTGCAAGCGGGGTCCCCTCTGGCATTGTCTGTCTCCTCTAGGAGGAACCATGAGGTGCCGGAGCACCACAGCCAGAGCGTGGTTTGATTGCCTGGGTCGAACCCAGTGGTGGGATTCAGCTGGTTTGCACTACTTCGGCAGAACCATTAGCTAATTTTTTGTTACCCAAGCCCAGAATGGACTTCCGGAAGCGGCATCCACACAGAGAACCGGTTGTTCGCATATTTGAATCCCACCACTGGTCGGACCATGTGGTATGGAAATCAATGATGGCGGTGGGAGACACATAAACATGGAGGCCATCTTTCACGAGAGGGTGAATGAGCCTTTTGTCTTCCCTTACAGAAGGTGGGGTGTGAGGTTAAAAAGAGGCGAAGCTAGAGGAAAGAAAGGCGGCTGGCATGGAAGCTTGCCCGACAGTGAAACTGCTGTTTCGGTTTCTTGGGTAGTTCAAAGGCTGGGATGTCTACGAAAATCTCTTTTTAGTCTTTTATACTTTATATATTCAAACTGCAGAGGGGAAAAATAATAATAAAGCCAATGTCTTGTGATTTAGAGATATTATTATTATTAATAATATATATTAATTATGTATTGGTCAGATGTAAAGGTAGACCTACATACAGTATGAGGTTTAATCAGATCTATTTATTAAATTATTAACCTAAAAGTAAATTTGAAGTAATCTGTTCACTGACAAAGTTTCAACTTTAATTTGTTTCAAGTCAATATCCATATTAAACTCCAAATGTAATTTTTTCCACCTTGTCGGGGGACTTCTTAAAAATAATTCAATCTTTTACAAGCAACCAAATTTTGTTTTATTGGGCCAATTTCATTCCACATGGAAAGCTGACATTTCCACTCATTAAACTAAATGGGTATGTCAGTGGTAAATGTCCCAAAAGATTAATAAAATGCCTTCTTGTAATTCAAAGCCACACAGTGCATGGTAACATTAAAAGTATTAACTTACCTTGAACAAAATCCTAGTCTTTTAGATACACTAAAAATTGAAGGGTTTTTTTCAACTACAAAGGTAAACCTTGTAGGGTAGGCAAAGCGGGTTGTATAACGTGTGTGAGTTCTGACACTATATATCACATGGGCAACAGGTGGGCGCATGGAGCAGGGGGAGGCACGAGAGAGCGTGCGCACACCCAGGGGGGGAGGGAAATTGGAGAAAGGAGGATTGATAGGAACGGATGATGGAAGGCAGGAACAGTATGTAGATCAGCGGGTCAGAAAGGAGGGGAATCCCGATGGCAAGACTCTTGTAGCACCAAATCGGAAGGCGCACCCTGGAGCGAGTGGGGGGAGCGTTTGGGGAGCGCACCGGCGGTGGCGGTGTGGAGAGCGAGGAGATTGACAAGGATGACAGAGGGGATTAGTGCAGTATTGGAGTGCAAAGAAGAGGGGGGGGACGATCAAGGCAATCACAGTTAATTAGGAAGAATGGCCCCATCACACGGACAACAGGTGAGCGCATGGAGCAGGGGGAGGCACGAGGGAACTTGCGCATACCCAGGGGAGGAGGGAAATCGGAGAAAGGAGCATCGATAGGAACGGACGATGGAAGGCAGGAACAGTATGTAGATCAGCAGGCCAGAAAGAAGGAGAACCCTGATGGCAAAACTCTCATAATACCGGGTCGGAAGACGCACCCTGGAACGATTAGGAGGGAGCAGTTGAAGGACATACCGATAGCGGCGGTGCAAAAAGGGGAGGAATGACAGGAATGACAGAGGAGAGAAGTACAGAATTGGAGTGCAAAAAAGAGAGGGTGGGACGACTAAGGCAATTACAGCTAATCAGGAAGAATGGCCCTGTCACATGGGCAATGAGTAAGCAGTTGGATCAGCAAGGTGTATAAAAAAGAACCTCCCCACCCCCTGAGCCCCACTCTGAGGACGCTGGCAGAGAACCAGCGAAAGCTAAGTTGTTTTTAACTTTGTATATAGCTGTTTTTATTATTTTAAATATTGTTTTAACAATAAACAACTGGTTTATGCCTCTCCAGGAGATCGAGGATTGCATTATTGAACATATATATATATATATATATATATATATATATATATATATATATATATATAT